AGCGCGGGCTGCGAAGCGCCTGCTGCGGCTCGTTTCGCATTAATTACCGCTCAGGATGTATCCGCGGTACTCGGCAAACACGCGGGCTGCCCTGTGCGGGGTCGCGGGCGGCTTAGCGCGGACGGATCCGTGTAGGCAGACCTCTGAATCGCGCAGGTCCCGTGGTGTGGTTTCACCCCGCCTGCGCGCCTAGGTTCGCTCGCGTGCGCCTCGCTCCTGTTCAGAGGTGACCGCGGGAGACTAGCGTGGAGGATGACGTGGGGAGAGAGTCTCTGTTGGGCGCTACGCTAAAGACACCGTCTGCAACGCAGGGAGACGGAGCAGGGTGCCGGGGTAGGCAGATGCTGAGGGGAAACCCCATCGTACCCCTTGCAGGCCAGGGCTAAGCTGCGCGAACCGAGGGGACGCGTAAGGCGTGTGAGGAGGAACGGGCATCGCTGCGTGGAATGGTGCTGCGCGACGCTTGAGCGGTTGTTCCCGGATGTTTTTTTCAACAGGAGGCTCTTTGCTGAGCGTGTGATGCTTTTGATTGCAGGTCCCGGTGGCGTTCAACGACGCTTCGTTTAATTTCTCTGAGCAGGAGTGGAAAAGCTTGAACGAATGGCAAAAGGAGCTTTACAGGCACATCATGAAAGGCAACTACGAGGCCGTGATCTCGATGGGTAAAGACCGGCTGGGTTTCGCCCTGAGCTTCCTGACGCGCCAGGTTTTCTCAGGGCCTGGTGGATACGAGCACCCCTGCGACTGGCGACTCGGGGAGGGTGGATGGTGTGGCGGTCTGGTAATGCGTTATGTTGGCTTTCAACAGCAGCCCAGGAAACTTAGAAGTTCAATCCTCACAGTTTTAGTTTAGCTGTGGATGGCTATCGCAAGAGCACCGCTACAGTGGCCGCATCTCCCTGGCAGTCTCTGTGGCCCGTAGGAGCCGGGCGAGGACCTGGGTAGTGAGGAGGAGGGGAAATGAGAGGACCCCAAAGCTAGGTAAAGGTGGGAAAAAGGGGAGATTCTTACTCTGTCATGCAAAGGTCCACAGATCCACTGCGCTGGGTGCATCAGCCGCTTGCCGCTTGGGGCAGTTACTAGCAGCAGAGGGGTGCCCTGCCTCCTGAGGTTCCTTCCAGTCTTTTCTGTGGATGAGCAGTCCTTCCATCTGCAGAGAGTTTCGTAAGGAAGGAGAGCAAGGTTTGTCAGCTGTCTGCATTGGCACTCTGTCTAATCCCTAGCCCAGCCCCAGGGAGGCGTTTCACGTGCAGACCGTTGTAGTAGCTGCTCCTGCAGTTGTCAGGGATAGAGCTGGGAGGAACGAGAGGGCAACGGCAGGCTCTGCCGTCTGCTTTCCCTTCGCGTGGCTCAGGGCAGCGCGTTCAAGGCTCCATGAACGTGCCCTGCTCGCTCCTTGCCGTCCAGGCCGTGAGGGACACTTGGACCTGTGCTGCACCTGCGTGGACGTGTCACCGTTGCGAGCGTTTCGGAGCACCTACGTGTATTTTGAGAGATGTTCTTGCCCTGGCTGAACGTCAGTGTCCAGAGAGCACAGACATCCCCGGTAGACAGAAATCCCCTCTTTGCGTTCAGATCACTTATATATGAGCTCACTAAACTGTACGTCCTGCCATCCAAATCTGGCTGATGCGTATCTTTTTGGGGGGAGGGTGAGGGGTGGGAAGGAGTGTAGAGTTCTGCTGCATCCTTAGGTACAAGGGAGAAAGGCAAAGGATAAACATTGCCCCCCCCATTCTCCTGTTTAAAAACAACCCTACATCCTACTTCAGAGGCGCAGGAATGTAACAGTCCTGCCGAAAGGGATCTGTGGATCTGAGCCTGAAGCTTAGAAAAATGTATCTGTGCTTAATCTGCAGGTTTCCTCTCTTTGAGTAACTGGGTTCTGAGATCAGGCCCTCATATAAGCCAGATAGATTCACCAGAGCAGTGGTGGAAATGAATAACCGGAGACTCACGTTTGTTGTTGCAAAATGAAATTTTCCGCTCTCCGTACTAGGAGAGAGTGTGATTTCCCCTTTCCCCCATCAAAATCCACAAACAGCCTGTGACTCGGAAGAGTAGGATGGAACAGTTCTGGCTGTGGAAATCCTCGGCTGGAGGGAACTGTACGGGGAGGGCACTTCCTCTGTTGCCGTTGGCTGACAGGTCTGGTTCTGTCCCCAAGCTGAAGTTCCCATTGTAATGGATCCGCGGACCTTAGCACAAAGGAGAAGAAAGGAAGTCTGGAGGTAAGCACAGATGCATTTTCTTATTCTCCTCCTCACGCTGCAGGCTGGGAGGTGCTCCTCACCTGAGCAGAGTGTGCTCCTGCAGTCCGCTCATGTTCCCAGGGCCCAGACAAGGTGAGCGGTGCAGATGTGTGAGAGCATCTTCTTAAGCCTCTCTTTCCATTACCCGTCATCCTCAGCAGTGAAGGAAGGTTGGTGGGCAAAGGTGTAACAGTCTCTGTCCTGCAAGGGCAAAGGAAATGTTCTGACCTTTTTTTTTTTTTTTTTTTTTTTAAACGTACAGATGCTGCAATTTCTAAGCCTGACCTTCTGTCGCGTATAGAACAAGGAGAGGATCCCAATGCTGAGGATCAGGGTGACTCTGAGGGAGAAACGCCTACCGATCCCAGCACCGGTGAGCTATAAAATTCCTAGGACTCGGTGGGAAGGTAGAAAACGGACATGTGGTTGTCACAGCCTGCCTGAGCTCTCCCACTTGCTTCTGTTGATGAGTTTTGCCAGGATTGTCCTCGGGCGGAGAGGGGGCTTTGCCTTCATAGCTGGCTCTTGCCTGATGGGGCCGTCTCTCCTGAAATCCTCGGTAAAGCAGCGAGCAGTTGTGAATATAAACTCACGTCACTCTTCTCCTATGCACAGAGTTTTCCTTTCCTGGTCCGGATGAGAGCTCGTGGAATAAATATGAAGAGACTCTGGCTGAAAGTCACGAGGGCTCCGAAGAGGAGGAGAACGCGGAGGTTGCTAGTACATGTGAGTTAGAAGCGCAGAGCTTTGCTGAGCGCTGCACAGCCCTGCAACGGCCGAGGCGGGAGACGGACACGGGCTCAGGCTCTTGGCACTTGGTGGGGATTGCCTGGGCGTGGGATCCTGCCTTTACTGTGATCTCTGCCAGGCTCGCTTCAAGGGTCAGCATGGCAGCTGGATGACAGCCATGGCAGATGGATAACACGTGTGCAGAAACTACCGTACGCGAGCAGCAAGGCTGTAAAAGCAGCTGCCGGCTAGGGAGTGCGGGTCACCTGTACAGGGGCGGGTCGCTCAGCCAGGTATTATGTTTGTAGTCTGGTCAGCTTTGAGCTGGAGCATGCATAGTGCAGGCAAACTTCGATGGCTTTAGCAGCAAAGAAGAATATGTAAACTGGTGTGTTTCACAGGTTTCTGTCTCAGCCAAACGTGAGGCTTTCTGTGGGACAGCAAAAGGCGTGGCCTTGTCCCTGCCCCATCACTTCAAGTCCCCGCTTTGACGCGTGGGAACGCATAACTGCTCGCTTAAGGAAAGCTTGCTAGGATGTGCTTTTGGTCTGCTGGCCTTGTTCTCAGAAGCAGCTGAACTGTTCTGGATGATGCTTTTCCGAAAATTCAGCCTGATGAAAACAAAGCAGCCCATTTTCAGACTGCGTGTTTAGGTGTTTGACAAAATGACGAGCACCTGAAGAGTCCTCTGATAGGGAGGGTTTGAGCAGCCTTCTCTGTGCACAGAAATACTGGGCACGTCTCTACCTTCTTGCATTCTGCAGAAACCTGTTGCTTTTCAGACCTCTTTCTACATTCCCTGATCCTCTGTGCTCCTGTCATCCTCTCTTTGCCAGGGTCCTTGGGATTGCTTTGAGTTACTGTTCTTTACGTTATGGAAGATCCTTCAGCCCCTGGCCTATGCGCCATACAAACCCAAAAGGAAAAGAGGGGATTTTCCCCTTTCCCCCCCTTTTTATTTTGCTGTCCTAAACTGCATGTTCTCAAAGATCTGTTCTGGTTCATCTCCTGCTGAGAAACCCACTTTTTTTCTGTGTCTAGCTATATAGAGAGGCCTCATCGTCATATTATCTGAGCTTTCCCAAGAAGTCAAAATATTCTGGCTCTATTTGTATCCCGGTACTGCTTAGATAGCTCCCAGATGGGACTTGCAACCCTGTAGTGCCACGTACTGTTTGTGCACTGCAAAGACCACCTCTACCCCAAAAGATCTTTCAGTCTAAATAATGAGGCAGTTGTTATCTCAAAGAAATGACATAACTGTCTCTGCTCTGCCAGATGCACAGCAGTGCGATGAGGAAGGTCCAGAGAACCTTGAGCTTCCTAGCTCATTAGCAGGAAAATGGGAAGATGTTTTCCCGAACCCTGAGGAAGAGGCAAAGCCAACCAGCAAGAGTCGAAGTGGATCCACCCCACAGCAGAGACCCGCAACGGGCAATGGGCTGAGGCGATCTGCTCGCCGCGGGAAAGACTTGGCAAAGAAGGACACTCCTGAGGAAGCAGCTGCAGTGGAAGGGCCGTACATCTGCTGTGAATGTGGGGAGAGCTTCCTGGACAAGCAGCTCTTTGCCACCCACCAGAAAGCCCACGCAGGCGAGGAAGCCTGCACTTCCCTGGAGCAAGGGGAAAGCTTCAGACAGAAATCCAAAATAACTCCTGCGAGAGCCCAGGGGCCGTCCCGCTCCAAACCGTCCAAGCGCCCCGATTCAGAGAAGAGCTCTGGTCTCAAGTACGGCTTTGTCAGGCACCAGGCTAACAACATGGTGGAGAGACCATATACCTGCTCCCAGTGCAAGGAGAGCTTCAGCCTGGAAGTGAGTCTTATCTTGCACCAGAAGCTTCATACGGGGAAGGGCGACGGGCCGCTGACATGTACCTACTGTGGGAAGGACTTCCGGGACCTCTCCAAAGCCATCCGCCATCAGCGCATCCACACAGGGGAGAGGCCTTATCAGTGTACAGAGTGCGGGAAGAGCTTCATCCGGAGGGATCACCTGCTCAAGCACTGGCGGGTCCATACCGGGGAGACTCCATACCAGTGTCCTGTCTGCGGGAAGCACTTCCGCTACAAAGAGTCTCTGAATTGTCACCAGAAAATCCACTCGCGCAACCCCCGGCCCATGGAGGACTCGCAGGCCAACTTGGAGTCGGCAACTCAAACCGGCCATTTCTGTGTGAAAAAAGAAACTAAGCAGTAACGCTGCTGTGGGTGGCAAGGGCAGAAGGGCTCGCGGTTACGATACAGTCTAGCAGGTGGACAAGCAGCATGATGGGAAGTGAACTTGTATCGCAGCTAATCCATGTGGTCGTGCTACAAAGCCCGCTTTGTTGAAGCATCAAAGGAATTCCTCTTAAAAACTCTCATAAGAAGGCCTAGGCACCTCTTCAACCCTGCGGGGTTACGTGGGACTTCCATAGCGGTGTAGGCCTTGTACTAGTTGTCCCCTACGCAGGTTTGGATTTTGCCTGTAGAGAATAGTCCTGAGAGATTCTCTGGGGTCCGTATTTAGCAGGTGTTTCCCCACCTATCTTTGTGCATATTCAGGAGTGACATGCTTTCGCTTTCGTTCTTTTCCACTCGTTTCACTGCAAGGCTGGAAGCATGAGGGAGGGAGGGAAGACGCCATTCCCAGGCAACCGGCCGTTCGCTGCAGCTGTGTTGCCGCACCTCGAGCAGCAGCCTTGTGCCGTGAGGCCAGGGCTGGGATCAAGGGGAGAGAGAGGAAGCAGAGATGCGGTTAAGGACCTGACGCGGAACTTGTTTAAGGTAGAAAAGCAAAGAGGAGAGAGCGGCAAAGAGCAAGGTGAGAAAAAGTAGGTGTAGGAGGAACGGATGGGATGGAGAAGGGGCTCAGGACATTGGAGCAGAGATTGGAGCAGGAGGAATCGGGAGGGGAAGTATGTGGATGCATAGAGGCACTACTGAGTACCTAACCCGAGGAGGAGATGTCTCTGTTCTCGCAGGATGTAACTGGCACCAGTGAGGCTTTAGTTTCCCTCTGGCCCAAGGGAAAGGTGCCGCTGGTTTGTCATACGGACTCCTGTCAATGAAGGCGATTTTATTTTATTTTTTTTAACTGGGTTTGGTCTCACACTCAGGTAAGTCAGACAAGTGAAAGCAACTTCTCCTAACCCCTGTAAAGAGCTGTTTGTTTTTTTTAGTTAATCTAGAACTAGTATTATATTATTATTATTATTATAATACAATGAAATGTGTGGCACTATATTTCACAGTTGATCTAAAACACTTAAATGTATGAAGTAACTGACCAGAGTTTTTTCAGATGTCTATGTAAATATTGGTTGAATTCTCTAAGAGCTAAGTGGTATTGTTCCTGAGGTGACTGTAAGTAGGTGTCTCTTCCGCTGTGTATTGTCAGCTGCTGGTTTGTGATCGTGTTTTGTAATAACTTTTGTAAAGTCTGTCAATACAGTGTTTCCATTCTGAAGCCCGTGTGGGGTGAGTGATCGCAGCCCTAGTTCCCCTTGCTTGGCCTCTGTATTTCGTCCTCGCTCTCCCTTCTCCTGTCGTGACAACTGCAGCACACTGGCCTGCACCTGGCTGTTATTTATTAGCATTTTCCAGGTAACTTGCTGAACTGGTGAACTGCACAAGCTGAGCTGGGTCTGCTCAAGTCTGTTGTTGTCCGTGCCAAGCGTCTGCGGAATCGTGTCCTGGAAGCGAGGCTGTCTGGAGCAGCTCTGGGGCACTTGGTCGTGCTGACGGTTGGTTTCTCGGCTGCCGTTACGGCTAGAAGCAGACTCTGGTTTTACGTGAAGGTAGCACTGCGCCTCCGGGAGCTGGACTGTACCACGCACCGAACAGTGCCACAGCAAGGGCGGAGGAGTCGTCTGCCGTCGCCGGACTTGGCTGTGCAGGTGGAGCTGGGACAGTCCCTTGCCATGAGAAGTGCTAGTGTGCGGCTGCAGCGGCTGCCCCGGCTGCCGCGGTCGGGCACCGAGCTGGGACATCGCTGCCCTCCAGCACTGACTTTGGCCTGTTGCAGGGGGCATGGGGAGCCCCTCGCGTGCTCCGAGAGGGGCCG